CCCCAAAACCCCAAAACCCCAAAACCCCAAAACCCCAAAACCCCAAAACCCCGAAATAAGAGAATAATAATGAATCAATAATATTAATTTTAACGTGGCGTACTATACAGAAAGTTTGATATGGGATTTATGCAAGATAAGGTTGAACTATTCAGTGGCAGGGTGGTCACAGAAACAATTAGGCAATGGCTTGTTCTACTATCAACTATATGACTTGTTATCTTATTAAACATTTCATGAGTGGTGATCATAAGAAACTCGCGTAAAATATTCTCATCCGATGTGCTCATGCTTCTACTAATCCAGATAAGAATAGTATTGCTGATGATATTTGAGTTCCTTGTGCCTAACAGGTTCCTTGTATTTCTAGGGGAACTATTTTATTTAGTTTTGCTTACAATTATCTTTCTCATGTTCATCAGGAATATATCCTCCATTCAGCATAACTTAACTAGAGGCTATAAACTTTATTTTGGTTGTTGCACAGCTATTATTCTGGCAATACTGGTGATGGGTATCATAGAGTATGAGAAGGCTTTTGATTGCTCGAAAAATTCTGAAGGATATACTCAGTACCCGAATCATATTCTTCATGGTCTAGAGCTTCTCTTGGTTAGTGTTAACCTTTTTCTCACTTTTGTGATTTTGAAAAAGCTCCAGAGAGCAAGAAATGAGAGAAGATTAAGCAACAGCCAGATAGGTAAGACACAAAATTTATCTGGGACATTCTTTGACACAAGAAGTATAATAATCAATAATTAACCAAGGGAATATCGAAGTATAACTTAGACACAGGATTTCAGATGGTTACCATCAATTTCTTGGTATTTTCTTATTATGAGAATATTATTTTCTCTGATTTCGCACAAGAGAATACTACCTTAGTCTTGCTGTTTGCCTTCTCATTAGTTTTGTAAACCTCTTAAAATGAATATAGATGCAGATACTGAATATTGCTTTGATGTGACTTCAAGTATGAAACAGAGTCAAGTTAAAATGTTATCTATCAGTCTCTTTATATTTACTCTTTTGCGAGTCACATTTTCACTTATTGGTGATGAAGTGTTATTCAAAAGAGGAGGATTTGAATGAAAAGAGCCAGGCTATTACAGGCCGCAAAAAGACATATCAGCACTATATCTTTTCATTACAAGCTTTGCTTCTATCTTTCCAGCTTTCTTTCTCTTGTACATAATATTCTGGATTCCTAAAAAGGAAGGAAAGCTTTCGATGAGCTTTTTCCAAAAAGAAAAACTGAGAATTAATAAATTCGAGGATACTATAAAATCTACATCTTCGTACGTGAATAATGATATTGATGTTTCTCATATAACTTCTCCCTTCTTGGGTAAGAAAAGAGATCATGGGTTTCCTTCAGATAATAGCCACCTCCAGGGAATTGACTATTCAGCACATGATGTCTATGACAGAAATTATACTGATAATGGAGACCATTCTCATGTTGCTGAGGATTTCAAGTCCTGCTTTGAAGAGAGGATGAAATCAGCAATGGATAAATCAGTAGCTGATAAGAAAACAGAAGATCCATGGAGAAATGCTTCCAGAGTCAGAAAGGTCCCTGCTACGCAAAGATCATATGCTGAAAAATCGGACTCATCTCTTCCAAATTTCCATTAATCTTTAGCAAAATTAATATTCCTCTTTTGAAAATGGCTTGCTAGTCTTATCTATTAGGATTAATAAATGAGATGTTGTAGAAGCGTTTGAAGTTTCATTATTTGATAAGTTTTGATTCTTAAGCTGGCATATAAAATTCATATTACCTTGTGCCACCTCCTTTAACTATTTATTAACAGTGGAATTATCCTGAATTTTGAGACTCTAATAGTATGTTGTCTTGAAGATAGATCCTTTCTTTATTCTCTAATTAGACAATAATTCATTCGAGGAAATTAAATCGGAAAATTAGTATATTTTTTTACCTCTGGCATGATTTTCAATTCTCCTGGGACAGGTTGGGGTTTTGGGGTTTTGGGGTTTTGGGGTTTTGGGGTTTTGGG